TTAAATTCATAAATTGCCAGCTTTTATTATAGTGATGTGCCCTTTTTGTGAGGTTGTTTGATTGTAAGGTTGCTCTCAATTGTTTCTAACAGGTGCTTTGGCAATGGAATGTTATGTGTGTCATATCTCAGATTAGATAGAAGTAGTGTTTCATGCGGACTGATTCAAGAGATGGTTTGGAATGTGTGATTTTGATATAAACATGTTATAAATTTGATTTGAAATTGGTCAGGTCGTTTCATTTTTATTAAGCTTACTACTCTCCAATTCTTTAATAGCGTTTACTGAATTGTGCATGTGTTTGAGTTTAGTGGTTTAGTACAGTGTTCATATTCGATAAATTTTTATAAGATTAGTCGAGTCGATAATTTAGCTAAACTAAGTCGCTTGGTCGATTTCTTCATATATAGCATAGCCTATTGCACTGATAAAGATGATTGACGGTTCTTCGGCTAGCTTCGTTTAAGTTTTTTATTTTATGACAAATGGTCTAATTTCATTCTGTAAGTTTGTTCTTGTTTACACATTGCAGATAGATTATCTGTTTATCTAGATCTATAAGCATAGTATTTGCTTTTCTAACGCTAAACAACTGTAAACCGACATGATAAAGTGCGTACACACGTACAGTACGCGAAACATCACAACATAATTACTAATATGGCTTTATCTAACATGTTACTATAATCAGAAAGGTCATTTGCTCGATCTAAATCGAAACAGTATTAAGTGTCAGGAAAATTGTCCTGGTGAAAACCTGACAAATTTGATTATCTCAATTTTTTTTGCAGTTAATGAAAAAATAATCAAGAGTATAGTATTGGACTTTTTATTTAATGTCTTGTTTTTGAAAAGTATTCTAAACTGGCTAAATAATTAATTTGTACAAATCAAGCCTTAAAATGTCGAGAAACAAATATATTTATATTTAAATATACACAAAATTATATACAAAATAACTATTATATTACCAAAACTTAAATTTGAATCAATTATTTAATAGTTTATAAACCTTTTCACGAGCTTCTAATGCAAATGTGTTATTTGGATGAATTTTTAAAGATTTGTTTAAATCTGCTAGTGATTCTTTGTATCTGTTCATCATGAAATAAGTTTCTCCACGGTTTGCTAATATGATTGCATTACTAGGATTAATTTCTAATGATTTATTTAAATCTGCTAGAGATTCTTCATATCTGTTCATCTTACGATAGGTTGCTCCACGGTATTCTAATGCAAATGCATCATTTGGATTAATTTCTAATGAGTTATTTAAATCTGCTAGTGATTCTACGTATCTGTTCATCATGTAATAAGTTGCACCACGCCGTCTTAATACAACTACATTATTTGGATTAATTTCTAATGATTTATTTAAATCAGCTAGTGATTCTTCGTATCTACTCATCATGCGATAAGTTACTCCACGCCCTCTTAGTGCAAATGCATAATTTGGATAAATTTCTAATGATTTATTGAAATCTGCTAGTGACTCTTCGTATCTATTCATCATCCCATAAGTTGCACCACGTTTTGCTAATGCAAATGCATTATTTGGAATAATTTCTAATGATTTATTTAAATCAGCTAGTGATTCTTCGTGTCTGCTCATTATGCTATAAATTCTTCCACGATAACTTAATGCTTCTGCATCGGTTGGATTAATTTCTAATGATTTATTTAAATCAGCTAATGAATCTCTATAACTTTTTAGTTTATAGTATTTTATTCCACGATTTTTTAATGCTTTTGCATTATTTAGAGTAACTTCTAGTAATTTATTTAATCCTAAAAACGGAACCTCCTTGTGCTTATTCATAGTAATATAATTTTTCAAATTAAAATTTGAATAATCTTGGCTAACGACTTTCAATTGATTAAATTGTTGTTCTGTTAAAAGTAAATAAGTATTATTAATAAAAAATAAATTTTAGAATTTGTTTTGATTCTAATAACTAATTATTAAACGTAATAAACCTATTAAATTTATATCTTGATTAATATTGCCGACATTATTTAATTTATCACGGACTTCATCTATATTAGGACGTAAATTTGGATCACCGTTCCAAGCGTCGCAATAAATATTTATAAAGTCGACTGGTGTTCCGTTAATAGGCGTCTCCCTTTTACCATGAATTACATGTAAGACAATTTCTCTTTGATCAGACATGTTTTGAAAAGGAGGGACACCACTTGATAACTCCCAAAAAAGTACACCGAGACTATAGATATCAGAGTGTTTATCTCGTTTATATAAAAATGGACTTTGGAGATATTGTGGATCGGAAAAAGCACATACTCCTCCATCAATAGATTTTGTGTTATTATCCAATGATTTAGACAATCCAAAATCCGTAATCATTAATCTACCATCATGTACTAATATATTCCTATCATGCTGTAACAATAATTTAATACGCATATAGTAAAAAGGCGGGAAATAAATTCAATGGAAAAGATATCTTACAAGATCACGATGAACAATATTTGCATTGTGCAAACAATTAACCCCACTAGAAATTTCTTTTGCCATTCTGATTTTAGTTGTCCAATCTAATTCTGAGAAATGATTACGCAAATAGGAGCGAAGGTCGCTGTTATTAGCGAATTGAAGAACCATATAGTATGCATCTTTTTTCGGATCTAATTTACTCGAAATAATTAGTTAGCTGATAGAGATGATTTTATACAATATAAAATTAATATAAAATAAATATACTTTGTGTGATTCCAAAAAATCGTACTATATTATCATGATGTGCAACTCTAGTAATATTTTTAATCTTATAATGAATCATAAAAATGAATTATAAAATGTAATAGTAAACCAGTAAATACGTAAACAAGAGCATAATTGATAATATAAATGATATAATATAAAATACTTCTTTAATAAAGGTATTCAACGAAATATTATCATCGCAATATAAACTCTTTAAAGCCATAGTTTTTTCAATGTCTCTTGAATAAGCACTATATATAGTACCAGACCCTCCTCTACCTATTTCTTCCCAATTCTGAAAAGAATCATACTCAAATGATGTAATGTATTTTTGTTCAAGAGCAACTTTAAACCAATTTGACATGTTTAATATACCGCATATTAGTTCTTTATGATCTCAAAGGATTAAAATTAGGAAAGGCATGCAGTTTTTCAAAAAAAAAAAACTATGTTGGTATTGCAAAATGTAACATAAAACTGTGACAGCACTCCTGCATTCTGTGCATATATGTGCATATGTGGTCACGTTATGTACAGTATATAATATGTGCACATATGTGCCGCAGTATATAACTGATAAGTACGTACGTATACTTTATTCGATGCACGTAAATGATATATTGGATTTTAAGGTTATCTTGGGACCTTTACTTATAGAGAACGGTATGTAGCACATTATTTATTCTATTATCGGAAAGAGTTTTCCAGGTCTTGGGTCTCGAATCCGTGTACTAACTAATGTGACGTTTATAGGAAATTACATATAGAAAACAAGGAAAATTACATGCGCGAAGAAAAGTGAAAAAAATTATCATAACAATGTCAATCTATACAAAAGGAGTAACTGGTATTAGGAAAAGATTTAATAATGCTTATGTGTTGCTCTATTGGATTAAAGTTTGATTATAGATTACTATTGAATGATCTACGTTCGTTGTAATCGGCAGGATCGCCCTTCCCAAAAAAGTTGTTGCTGTGGTAATCGGTAGTACGTTCGGGTAATTCAAATAATAAGAAAAGCAAATTAGAATAACTAGAAAAATTAGAATTCGCGGTATTCTTGTAAATGTAAATTTGTTATATAAATGGAGTTTCTCTCCAGAAATAAAACATAACTCTGGGGAATTTAAAGTTCCAAGTTAAAGAAATCAAAGTATTTGACTTGTGATTATCTGGAGTCCCAAAACCTTCGAAATAAGAGTAGAAGTGTTAGTCTTTAGCTCGTTGTACCCTTGGTTAAAAATCGTTCGTCGATATCGAAGTTTCTTGTCCCCATGATTATTCCGCAATCATCGTTAACGAAAGAATTAAAGTATTAGTAGAATAAGCAAAGAGACTAAATCACCAAGTGGACACTTATCTGAACCTGACACTATCGCTAGAAACCCAAATAACACTGATTACTCGGACATTATTAGGGTTTGGTTATTATAGTAATAGTGTTCTAGTTTGGATAGTGTAGTTAATATCATTATTAGTAGTAAGCTGTCATATTTCTGCCCAGCAACTCTTCCGACGCAAAATACACTTTTTCATCGTACATAGAGGAATATGTAGAGGAACATCAATCAGCAGTGTAAATTAAATCAGGTGACCCAGTGATACTCATACAATTGGCACCTTAATCCTTATTAAACTGTCTTTTGGAAAGTAAATCCTTTTATACATATATTTGTTTATAATTCATATTTTAAATCGTAGTTAGAATCATAATCATAATTTTAATAATCGTAATTAGAATCATAATCATAATAAATTTAATAAAATATTGGGAATCCTTATCTTTCCATTTTTGGTGCGGATTTTTTGTAGGAAAGATGATCATTGATTGTTAAAGACCATAGCAAAACATTAGCGAAAGAATCTGTTGAACATCTCTAAATGCATTTCATAACATGCACTACTAACACTGGCATTCGTCATGTCCAAGAACCGACTTCGAAATGTGATACAAAAACGTGTTTAATCACATTAATATGTTGGTTAGTAGAATAATGAAGCAGAGCAAGGAAAATAGACAGTTACACGCTTTATAACTATACATTAATAAAATTAATTCACTTAAAATTTTTATGAATATATATGTAATAACTATTAAATAAAGTCTCGCTACTGTATTTTTGTATATAATACGCGAACACCTATTACGTATTTCAACTATGTACAATATTGTATGAATTGGACGTGTTCCATTGCTTCCCTGAACCTTACCGATATGCATTAAAAAACTTTAAATAGCCATATACAATACTATACCAAACTAGAGGCAACTGGTTTATCTAAATCCACTATGAATATACAAAATATATTATGTATTATCCGGCAAACTCTTATGATCATAGATTTAATTTCTTTTTATTTTTTTTGCAGTCGGAAAATGTGTACAGGTTGGTGACGTAGTTCTTCTGATCTACGAATCAGCTTTCAAGATTAGGTGTAACGTAACACAATCAAGAAGATTCAAAACAAACGTTCGTTCTGCCAAAAATCGCTCATAACTCAAAAATTAGTATAAGAAACCACCTTTTGTGCTCTAACAAAAAGTTTTCGTTGGACAATTTTACTATTAAAACTACTCCCCTCTAATTCTTAACCCTGACCCTAACCCTAACCTTAACGAATTTTAAGAATTTTGTCTGCGCCACCAACCTGGTACACATTTTCCAATTGCATTTTTTTTGTGTTATGACATATTCAAATTAAAACTCAGTTAGTCAATGACGACTTGAGAATCATGATCATGAATTGCGGTTAACACAAATTTTGAGTCATGTGTTAATAAATATAATAAATATCACAAAATTTGTTCTGTCAAAGCAAATGATTGGCTGAAAACGGCACATGTCAACCAATCATTTGCTCCGACAAAACAAATTTCATGATGCATGATCAATATTATACATATTATTTCATATAAATGCTCCAAATTTTTAACAAACAATTAATTAGTTTCATGAACAACATACAGTATGCTTTATTCTTTGCGACCATAGAGCTTAATATAATATATAAAGTACAGTGTGTTGTATAGTAAAGCTCGAAAACTTATCAAACTTATTTTAACTCCAAACAATACATCTGCTAGTATTATTTTTAGTCCATCACATAGTGACTGGACTCGTCAACTCATGGCTCTAAGAATTCGAATTGATCATTCTTCGAATCACTCGAGGGTTAATTATTAATGCATAATTACGTGCTATGATGTTTAAAATACTGTAATAATAAATTGTATGATGCATAATTAATACGTACCTATGTAATTTTAACGTAACTATATATGTAATTCATTGAAAGTTAAATAAACTATATAATTACTATATATTTAATAAAAACATAAAAATTTCAATAACTTTTAAGACATTTCCGTTTATACAAATATGGCGCAAAACAAAAACATTAATGAACAGGAGGAATCCTATATTAAAGAAAATAGTCAAAGTTCTATTACAGAAAAAGCACAACCCTTAATCCAGAATTGGTGGGTGAGATGATATTTTTTTACAAAATATGGATTTTCTAGATACATTATTTCCAGTTGAATAATTAATATGCTACTTGCTTTCATAACTTGTAATCTGTGATAATTGCTTTTAAATCATGTAATTTGAATTGAATTTGTTTTGCGTAACTCGCTATTTGAAGTATATTTGCTTTTTTAACTCAATTTAAAAAACTTTCAATAAATTAATTGTTGTACCTCGAATTAATCGAATAAAACTCGAATAAATGGGATCTTTGCTATGAAAATGGCCCTCTGAGGCTATATTGATTTTGTGAATAAAAATAAATTTACCAACCATCTAGTTATCCAATTTGAATGAATTTTTTTTTATTTACGGAGTTAAATAAGCTCTACAAAATAAAAAATAATAAAAAATAAAAAAAAGATCATTCTAATTGGATGACTAGATGGCCAGCATATTTAATTCCTACTCACTAAATCAACATAGCTTGGAGGGTCATTCTCCTAGCAAAGATCCCAAATAATTTGATCGAATAATTCGAACATTCTTCGAATCTTAATTCATGAGTCACGAGTTAATCACTACATCACAGTTCAATGTAGTTTGTAAAGTATGAAATTTATTGATTACAATAATTTGAAAAGTATATAATATTCTTATAAAACCATTTTTAAAAAGAATATTCTCAGGAAATTTTATGAATCCTAAAAATTTTTTCAATTCAAGGATAAGATTCACATAAACACATGTGGACATAAGATTTTAACATTTGGGTAAGTACACAGCAACCATGTTTAGAGTATATATAATATATATACTCTAAGCATGATTTTGCTGTGTACTCACCCATTTGATACACATTATACATTTGGCATCGTTCGAATATAGCGAAATTTCGCCACTATCATCCAGTACAACCGGGCTATTTATAACCGTATATCGATCAATAAGGTATAATATAATCCAACGTAACTCTCATTATAGTGAACTCTAGATATAGTGAGGATTCAATATAGTTAAGACTAGTGTAGTATTTTTAAATATATACTGTGCCAAAAATTTCTCGGCCTAATGATTTCATCATAACGAGAGTGAATTCTGATGTGTGATAAAGAATAAAAGAAAAATAATAAAAATAATAAAAATAATAAAATAATATGCTACCACCGTAAAAACAAAAAAAAAAAAGACTACTTGTAAAATATAGTTTTTTAAAACAAAAATCGAAGTTATGCTATTTTTAAATTTACGTGCAGCGCTCAATTATTAATAATCAATGTGCATAGATTCCAATATCTGTTGCCGGCTAAAATATTTTTTCGGAGATTCAAGTTCTCTTCATGAGTTCTATTCAATGCCCTGAACAAAGTCTTTTTCATCTTTGAAAAGTCTTGCGGTGTATCTTTATCAATGTTCTTGACATTTTTATTGTATTTGACGATTGTCTTATAAAGGTATGAAAGGGAAAGGAATGACACTTGTAGGTCTGGATTAGCTTCATTAAGCACGATAGAATTTACGAGATGAACAGTGGCAGAATTAACTTTAACGAATGTAAAGGTAAATTTATCATCTTCATGTAGTTTGAAACCTGTTTTTTTTTCCCACCAATCTTTTTCAAATATATTGACAGGTTCACTGTCATATGCTGACTTTTGCTTAGAGATATTTACATATTCCGGAATTGGTGGTGGATGAGGAACATCTTTAAAATGCGAACGCTTTTTAAATCCAAGAATTCTGTCTAAAGCTTCAAATCCAACACCTTCTCGAAACCCAGAATCACAAAGGACCAATAATAACTTTGGGGAAATGACATAAAACCAATGAAAGGCTTTTTGAAATGGACCCATTGAAGACCCAGTAATATTTATACCTTCGAAGATTCCAAATGCGTTGCTGGTCATAATAAATTCGTCATTTTCACCAGCTTGCCAAATTGTGAGAAAACAATCAATCATACGCAGCTTATAATCCATTCTATCTACAAAAAAGACTCGTGAGTTGCCTTCAACATCTTCATGTGGTGTATCTAATATTTCTCGGACATTCTGTAACCATACTTCCAGCGAATTTTTTAAATTATGCTCCTGCATAAAACTTTCTACTGCTGCCCAAGTAATGAAATCAAACTCCTTATTCACAAATTGATTTCTTCTACGAGGTTTTCGGTAGTTCATGATGAAGAGGAACTTGCGTAAGTCAGAGGCGCTTTTCCTAAGCAAAACAATTTGGTTTTTCGATTGGGATGCCTCAATAATAATATCTCTGACCACCTTTGATGCTTTCTCTTCAAGAGTTGCCAATTTTTTTTCCACACACATTGTGTCATCATCATTAAGGTCTTCATACATGTTTATGTATCCATAAGTTCTCGCAATTGAAGAAGTACCTAATTGATCCTTAGCTCTATCATAAATTTGGAGAGACTCCCCCTTCTTTTTCGTCTTCCAAAACTTTTGCTTCTGATTAAATTGCTTCCTATTACTTGTGAATATTCTTTCATAACTATCAATAGAAAAGTTACGTAGAATGAATCTTGGAATGTAGTGATGGTATTCGTTTTTTTGCATTATCGTTATAGAAGTATAGAATTAGAAGAGAGATTAGAAACGAATACTGCTTGTCCATTGTTTCTATATTTTAACGTGATACCAATAATAGAAATGGTTTAAAAAAGTTACACAGTGTTCGAAAAAGCATCACATTACACAACATATTGAGTTAGGCCGAAGGTGATTTTTTAATAAAATACATAATAAAAAGTGAACGATTGGTCAAGTAAGCCAGAACGGCAATGACATCTCGCAAAAATAGCAATCGTGATTGCACTGAGAGTCGCTGTAAGAATAGCCGGTGGTTTCCCACCTACCGAAGCAAGCCGGCTGTGAGTGAAGAAATGACAGAATCACATGTTTCGGCCTTGGAGTGGGCTGGGTGTTCGCGAAATTTTTGGGATAAAGCACTGAAGTATCTGCGTCTAACGTTCTCAGATCTTATATGCTTGCCTGGTTCTTTAACAACCTGAATTTGCGCCAGTCATATGTCTCTGACATGTGTTATCAGCATTGTTTAATCTTCCCACGCTTTATTTGATATTTCACATGCTTGGCTTCAGCGTGTGAAGATGTCAAGTGGCAGGGGTCGTGTTGCTGTTTCTCATCTTCTCTTTTCAATCACGTAACAGCCGTCACTTCGCATAAATAATGTCACATGCTGCTTAGCCAATCTGATTACGAATTTTAAAAAAAATTAACGTTAAACTAAAGTTTACATTTAAAATTCAAGATCAATATATCAAATAGTGCTATTGATCGATAGAAATGCCAATGTTAATTTTAATCATTTATTAAACCCCTCACATCTATTACAATCTAGCATATTATTTTATAGCGAGAAACTTAGACAACTTTGATACATAATAATTGTGTATATAAGATCCTCATCATATCTTAAAACTCCAAATAAAAAAAACTTCTATGTATTCCTAGTTAAGTAGTGTTGATTCACCTATGTGGCGTAAATACATCAATAAGTTTATATAGGCGTTTTGTACACACTTTGATTTTACTGAATCGTAACTTCAAGTTTTTTTTCATCTAACAGCTTGAATTTCGTTAGCACTTAAGCCTTATACTTCCAAAACTATGCCCTTTTACATATGAACTTGCAAAGCAAACTGTGAAGTGACCATGTTGGATTAACGCGGGCTAAAGAAATATAGTGTAAGCGCTTCAAGTTCGCTTAATAAGTTTGTCTACACTTCATAGACCGTAAATTACCGTATACAAGACTTCCTACAATTGTAGACCCATCATGTGGTATATCCGGGTGCAAACTACAGTATCTGTATTAATCAATCCTAATTTTTTTTCAAATATCGAGATTAAATATTATTAATGCACTAAGAGACAAATCAGAAAAAATTTGTTGATCATGATCGATAAGGCCCGGCACAAATTTTCTTGATTGCTATTTATACCAGACAACTACATGATTATAATGCTTGATGAACTTTTTTGCACTGAAGAGATGGTTTTGTCTGACTTGACGATTAGGGATATTTATTTTAGTGTGATACTACAGTTGTTTACCATATTATTGTAGACACTTCTTAAAAATTTATAGAGAGCTATAGTTTTAAAAATTTATATAGAGCTATAGTTTTTAAAATAATTAAGTAAAATTTCATTTGACCAGTTTTTATTATTACACAAAATTAATTAAAAAAATAACTACATGTATACAGTAAAAATTAATTAAAATAAGGATTATATAATTTAACGCATATGCGTTGTAACGCACCCCCTGATCAACCAATTAAAACGTAAGATCAGGTGTAACGTTACACGATCAGGAAAATTCAAAACAAGCGTTCGTTTTGCCAAAAATCGCCTATAACTCAAAATATCGCATAAGCAACTACCTTTCGGGTCTTAACAAAAAAAATTCCTTGCAAGATTTTACTATAAACCCATTTTTTACAACTACCTTAAACTTACCTTAACCTTACTTAATGCTAACCCTAATCATAAAAAAACCATTGTTTTGATTTCATGTTACACCTGATCTTATGGGGGTGCGTTACAACGCATATGCGCAAAATAATAAAATTCTTAAAATAATATTTATATAGTAAAATTTAAATTTTAGAAAGTAAATTAGATTTCAAAATTAAGTAAAAATTATTTAGTATAACAAATTATATATAATTTGAAATTTTTATAAAATTTTAAAAAGTTAAATCAGTTGTTATTTTTAAATATAGCAATTAAATTATTTAATTTAAAATTAATAAATTAATTTATATATAAATTCAGTTTTACTAAATCACACCAGTGGTACCAACACCACATCGAATTTGACCAATAAAATTAATGATCTGCAGTGTAATATCAAAATCAGGTATAATATAAAATCAAAACAATCTTTGTTGATAAAAAACCTTTAATAACTCAAAATTTTGCTTATGAATCCTTCTTTTGTATTCTGATAAAAATTTCTTATACAATTTTGATATATATTAACCTTTATTT